TTGTTCTACAAGACAATGGATATTTCAGAGCTGCAGTCTAGGGTGGAAGCTTCTCAAGGGATCAGCTTAAGTGGGAATATAGCAGAGACACTCTCAGGAGTAGATAGTATAGCAGAGACTCACAAGCTCAGGAGTAAATACAGCAAAGGCCCACACTCTCAGGAGTAGATAGTATAGCAAAGACTCACAAGCTCAGGAGTAAATACAGCAACGGCTCACACTCTCAGGATTAGATAGTATAGCAGAGACTCACAAGCTCAGGAGTAAATACAGCAACGGCTCACACTCTCAGGATTAGATAGTATAGCCGAGACAGACACACTCAGGAGTGATTAGTATAGCAGAGGTTCATAATCTCATTTGGCATTTCATATTTGTCTCTCTTTAATTTAAAATCCTCTTATTTTGAAAGCAAAAACATTTATATATAAAAATTAACTAGACTTGAAAACTACAGTGTTGTGAGATATTTTAACTAGGCAAAAGGTGTGTTACATTTGTTTATGCTGTGCAAGATTATTTTAAGTGTGTAAAAAAATGTGACACGTTTGTTTCTGTTGCCCTTGTTTACAGTGTAAGGATGTGTTGCATTTGTGTCTGCTGCCTTTGTTTACAATGCAAATATCTGTTACACTTGTTTCTGATGCCTTTGTTTACAATGTAAAGATGTGTTGCATTTGTTTCTGATGCCTTTGTTTACAATGTAAAGATGTGTTTTATTTGTTTCTCCTGCCTGTTAAAGACACCTGATTGGTCTAATAAAAGCTGATTGGAAAATCGCTAGGCAGAAGAGGATGGGCAGTGCTAGCAGGTACAGAGAATAAATAGGAGGAGAAATCTAGGCTAGAGGAGAAGAAGAGGAAAGGATAAGGAAGAAGGAGGGGGACATGCAGGTGTCAGAAGCTGGGGAGCATGCAGATAGTCTTGCAGATAGTCTTGCAGATAGTCATGGAGACAGCAGGAAAGTAATACATACAGAGGGAACAGTACACAGCCTCACATCAAAACATAGATGAGCAGAAATAGGTTACATTATAAAAGCTAGCAAGAAATGAGCCTAAAATAAGGCCCAGCGTTCATAAATACTGCGATGTAGTGCTGGTTTATACAGGTCCATTACTTTACATTATATGGTGACCAGAAGTCTGAGTGACCTGGCGAGGCACAATTTACACCTGCCACACAGAAGGTCGTCTCCTAGCCTTTTTGAGACAAACTGATGCGATTCTAAACATCGGGTCTGGATATGTTAATGTTGCTCTGCTACTTTTTTGTAATTTGAGAGGTCACCTGTGTAAGAAGTGTTAATTTAATCTTTGTGACAGAGCAGACATACAGAGTAGTCATAGATAAAAAGACGTGACAAAATAAGCATCAAATGGTGTGGCCGTGACAACAGTCATTCTCCCGGCTAACTAGGAAGCAATGCTAATAAATTTCCTGCTAGTTTATGTTTTGGTATGAAATCTGTTTGGAAAATAAACACGGGTGATTTTCAGGATGTAAATTCAGGACTTTGTAAAAGATCCCTAAAAACTCCCTTCCAAGTCATGTGCATTGTGTCTCAAGTATTTCCCCACCTTCCCTCTTGATCGAAAAATATTTTATGATCTGGGCTGGCCCTAGATTTCGACATAGTGACACCCATCGTGGGGCTAATCAGTAAACCCTGAAAAAAAAAATCAAAGAAGTGACCAGACTTATGGAGAGAAACATAAAAAAAAAAAACCTCACAAAAAATTACAACACAGGGGGCTGGAGAGATGGCTCAGTGGTTAAGAGCATTGCCTGCTCTTCCAAAGGTCCTGAGTTCAAATCCTAGCAACCACATGGTGGCTCACAACCATCTGTAATGAGGTCTGGTGCTCTCTTCTGGCCTGCAGACGTACACACAGACAGAATATTGTATACATAATAAATAAATAAATATTTAAAAAAATTACAACACAGGCAAATATGTGAGTAAAAAGCACTCAAAAGCAAAAACATAAAATTTAAAAAAAAATGCATAAAAGCAAAAAAATCAGGAGTAAAAATTTATAAACAGTAATTAGTTATGTGTGTTAATAGCTAAAAAAAACCTTAAAGTAAAACAAAAACAATGACAAAAATATTTAAAGCCTGTAAGCATGAGGGTCGCAGAGATGCAGCTTTGATCACTGCTAAACGGGTAGGAAGATTAGAACATAATCTAAGTTTTCACTCCCCGTCACCTAGGTTACTGCTGAGACTGCGCTGTAACCTAGGTTCCACACATGCGCTGTAACGAGCTCAGTTTTGACCCACGCGCAGTAACCATCTAATCCCAACCCTCCTGCACAAGGAGAGGCAAGCAAAAGATTAATTTTAAAGAGCAATTTTAACTCTACAAAGTCAGCATCCCAGAGTCGGTCAATTGTGGGGCAATATGATACAGGCCGCATATTTCTGCACTGTATGGTGGCCAGGCTCTCAAGCCGTAGTCCTGTACCTGAGGTGGTCACATAGCATTTACAGACTGGTTGTCTCCAGGACACGCTGATGTTCTGATCCGTTCTTTGTAATTATGGAGGTCACCTGGGAAGAGGTGTTAATCCAAGCTGGTGACAGAGCTGAGGAAGTGACTTTAGTTCGGCTACCCTGGAAACAGAAGGCTCATGAACCTCCCCCTTAGTTTACCCTTGGGGATATAAAAGCTGTTTTGAGGATAACCGTGGGTGATCTTCAGGATCTGAATGTACCCGAGACTCCCTTCCTATATCACTGTGTAAACTGTGTCTCAATTATTCCCGTGCCTCCATGCCAGTCCAGAGAGATAATTTCCCTGACAGTCAATAAAACAGAAAAAAAAGACTCAAAAATTCTCCTAATTTTATAATTACAAGTTAAAATTTAAAAAAAAAGATAGTAAAAATCCGCAGCTACACCCGCCAGAGGTTGTGACGACATGCTACAATCTTAGAGCAGCCACAATGGCAGACGTCAGAGAGCCTATGAATATGTCAGTCACTAAACTCTGATGGGACTTTTAAACTTAAAATGCATGACCAATGCCTAAACAAAACGAAAAATAAAACACAGGCTCTGCCTGGTCCCGAGTACAACAGAAAGGCTAGCCGAGGGAGGGAGTATGTCTTATCCCCTGCCAGCTGCCCAGCTTCATCCACAAGCTGACAGATAAGTTTACAGAAAGATAGCCCGAAAAAACTACAGCTTTAAGACAGTTAAAAATAAATAAACAGGTTAAATATGTTTCCTTTCTCCATTTTACTTTGTTTGCTTTGCTTAAAACTCTGTAGGTCATAGGCATATGGATTAATATACTTGATGAATTAGTATCAGTTCCTGAAGTCCTCATCTCTGTTTTTATGCCAACATCAGGCTGTTTTTAGTGCTGTGGCTCTATTGTAAGGTTTAAAATCAATAATTGTGATACCTTCCAAAGTTCCTTAATTGTACAGGATTTTAGGATTATTTAGACTATCCTAAGTTTTATTTTCCTTATAAAGTTAAAGATTGTTCTTTCGAGGGCTATAAAAAATTTGGCGTAATTTTCATGAACATTTACATTAAATCTGCAAATCACTTTTGATAGCTATTTGTAAATGGTGATGCTTTTTGATTTCTATCTCAACTCATTTATCATGTGTACAAAAGAGGTGTATTTAGGCTGTTTTCAGATTCTGGCTATGTTGACTGAGTTTTCTGTCCCACCAGGTCGCCCAGACGTTTAGTCCCAAGAAATCACACATAGGTCTGCATTAGCTATAAACTAATTGGCCTAGTAGCTCAGAATTCTGAATAACTCGTATAAATTATATTAGCCCATTATTCTTGTCTATGTTAGCCATGTGGCTTGGTACCTTATTTGGCAAGACAGTCATATCTTTCTTCATCTGTGGCTGGGCCATGACCGCAGAAATGGGCTTTCCTCTTCCCAGAATTCTCCTGTTCTCATTGCCCCCCTCTACTTCTTGCCTGATTGTCCCACCTATACGTCCTGCCTGGCTACTGGCCAATCAGCATTTTATTAAAATACAATTGGCAGGGTACAAACCATTGTGCCACAGCATGGCAATGACAAAATAATCCTGCTATATATGATTTGGGAGTTGATTGGTGCCCCAAGAGACGTCTCTTACACTACAGAAATCCTGAACTGCATAGAACGGACATGCAGAACATGTCATTCACAAGGCATTCACATTGGACTTGACACTGTCTGCACTGAATATATGTTCTGTACTGGTACACCATGAAAAGCAAAATCCACGGCAGAATTGGAACCTGAAAATCAGTTCCCTAATTATAGGGCCCTATGTCCTCTTTCCCAACCCACGTTTGTTATTTGCTTTAAATCTTTCCTCATCCCCTATATTTAACCTATATCCTCTTTTCTACTTTATACAGTGTAGCAACATATGTATTTTCACACACACACACAATTCTCTAGATCAAATATATTAGGGAGAACATGCAGTGTATTTCTTCATAGGATTACATGACCTCAACTGCTATACATTTGACGTCCATCCATTTTTCTGTTAATTTTGTGATTATACCTTTGTAGAGCAAAATAGCATCCCCTCGGGGTGTGTGTGTGTGTGTGTGTGTGTGTGTGTGTGTGTGCAATGAACACACATTTATAATTATTAAATTATTTTCCATTAATATGTTCATGGGCACCTATGTTTATTCTCAATTGTAAACAACCTGAATGAAAAAGCAATCAACATGGGACACAAAGATCTTTATAAGGTATGCAGTTCCCTTGAGCATACCCAGGACTGAAATAGTGGGGACAGTGCAGAGACTACAGCCCTGGATCCATGGTGTGACATCATTACAGGTGTGAGGAATGGTGCGGGAAAATTCTGTATTCTGCAATTATGTTTTAAATAAATGCTGATTGCCCAATAGCCAGGCAGGAAGTATAGGCGGGACAACCAGACAGGAAGTAGAGGCGGGGCAATGAGAACTAGAGTGTTCTGGGAAGAAGGAAGCTCTCTCTTCCCAGTCCTGCCCAGACACAGAAGAAGGAAGATGTGACCTGCCCAGCTGAAAAAGGTACTGAGTCATGTGGCTAGTATATACTAGAATAATGGGCTAATATAAGTTGTAAGAGCTAATAAGAAGCCTGAGCTAATGGGCCAATCAGTTTATAACTTATGTAGACCTCTGTGTGATTTTCTTTGGAACTTGATTATAGGAACCTGGCAGTATAGAAACCCCAACAACAGGCCCCCATGTTACATGTGAGGTGCTGATTTGGGAGGTTCCAGTGGCTACTGCTGCACCATAGTCTATGCTGTTGTGGTCTCAGAGGTTACTTTGGTCTGTGGCTCTATTCACAGCCTGTAGATAGTAGACTGCACTGCATCTGAAGTTTACTACTTTGCTCCTGCAGGCTCTCAGGGGGCAAGGGGTGACCAAGGATTTGACTCCATATGGTCACCTCGTGAGCATCTGGTCCCACCCACAGTGACATCTGAGGCCACTGGACTCAATTCCTGGTTGTAGAATGCCCTCCTATGGCTTTGAGGGCGGGAACCTTTTAAATATTTTCCACAGGAAAAGTGAGGCCTCATGCATTGATGATGGAACTACATACTCCAAGCTGGAAAAAGGAATAGATATGTTACCTGTGTTTAAGCAGACAACTTTTTACCAGGAGATAAACAATGGCAGTTTTGGTTGGACTTAGGCAGCCTGTTAGCTGTGCTTAATCACACAATGTCTTCTTTGGCTGTTTGTCGATCTCCTTTTCCCTGTCTCAGAGTCCGGGGCACTGGCTCAAGACAGGAGATTAGGAAGACGCTTAGAGATGCACATGCTTGTGGCTGATGTGGTGACACCAAACCCTAGGTTCAACAGCTTGTGTTTGTGTATATGTGTAATGTTAGCAATGTTCTAAAAGCAGATATTTCTATTTATTTGGAAACATAAGCCATTGTTGTGCCCACCGGAATCCAGTCAAGCCTAAAATGCAAAAGCAAGGTTTATTCAGTGTGCAAAGTCCAAACCAGGCTAAGAGATCTACACAGGATGCAAAGCAGAAGGGAGAGCTCTCGTTCCTCATTTGGGGCTGACATAAAAGACAAAACCTGCAAGCCAGGTTCATTTTTGGGTTAAGGGAGCTTGTCTTGCTAAACAGCAGTGGTGGACTACGTCTGCATGTCCCTTCCTCCTTAAAGCGGCTATTTCTGCTTCTGTGTATGCCCCTGCCCTCCTCCCCCACCAGCAGCTACTTCTGCTTCTGTTTGTTCCCTGTTAGACCACAAAACTGGGTGTTGACAGGTGGCAACGTCTTGGAACATTTTGTGGTTTTTAGTTGAACCCATTCTCCTAGTTAGACTGTTGTGCCCAGATTACGACCCCCAGAGAGACCACCAAAGTCTGGACTGCAAAAGCAAGGTTCATTGTTAACGTAATATGAGCTAGTTCAGAATTTGTCTCCAAACACTTACTGCAGTGAGGCAGGGACGACCTAGAGTCCCTCTATGGGGAAAGCTTTTTAAAGGCAAAATCCACAAGCCCTTCAGTGCGGTCAGGGGAGTTTAGTACAGGTGGAGGTCGTTGCTCTCCCCCCCCACACACACCTGTTTTGTCAGCTTGTTTTATCTTTAGAGCAGGCCACTCTGTCCCTGAATCAGGATGTCTTTATAGGTCTTCACCAGAGGCCTGGAGTCCTGACTCTGTGCTTTGGAATTTCCCAGGGCAAGGGGGGGGAGGGGGGGGGGGGACGGGGACGGGACGACGACACGGGACTATCATTTCTGGGAACATGACGCTACTTTGTTCTTTTTCTTTATTTTATTTTAAAACACTCTGCTAGAAAATTTCTTCTCGTTCTTTTGAAAATAAGGGATGAGGGTCTTACAAGACATCCTGTTTTTCAAGCAGCTCTTGATTTTGTAAAGTTTTTTTTTTTTAAAAAAAAATCATGTCCTTACAACCGTAGCAGCCAGATGCCTTGATGATCCCCTCCACACATGATATCTTATTCCATTTCTGCTTCTGTGAGGACCTGACTTTGCAAACTCAGTGTTAAAGGAGCTTCATCTTGAGCCATGTAACGAGCAGCTGTGGGTGAGGGTAGTAGACATCTCATCTCCAGAAATGAGCTGCGATAGCAGAATTTGAACAGATACCCTGAAAATAGCCAGTGATGGAGCTCGGGAGCAGGGCCATTAAATTAAAGGAGGTCCAGATGTTCCTAGGAGCCATCCTGTCCCTAAAACCTTATCAGTTATTAATGGTCCTTTGTTAGGGTTTTCACGCCCAAAAACTGACCACTGGTTTCAAAAGCTACCTTACCTTATGCCCTCCTTGCCCAATCCCAAGACAAAAGGACATGAACTCCCCTGATTATGGAGTTTCCTCTTTAAAAGTTCTCCCCTTCTTTGGGTTCCAGGCTGACTTCGGCTCACCTACTAATTAGTGTAGTCGAAACTCGATCTTAAATATTGAAAACTCTCTTGTGCTTTCGAAATCCAGTGCTGTGGAGTTTCATTTTCGGATATTCAACTTGGATATAGCACCTATTTTCGTTTCGTTTCGTTTTGTTTTGTTTTTAATTGCGTCCCTCCTAAAAAGCTATTTATGCTTCGCGCAGATTTCTGGGAAATGTAGTCCTTACGTCTGTGACGTCACAAGGAGCCGTCCAGGAAATCCCATTCCTGCTTTGGTCTCCACGCGTGTCTCTTCCTGAAAGTTGGGCGAGAGTCTGCCTGCTGCACATTCCTGTTGCGTCTCTGACATGGAGGTTGGTCCAGAGTACAGGACAGCCTGAGGCACTGTGCGCGGTGCGGGGCCGTCTTGGAGGGAACTGACCTGGACTGGCTGAAGAAGCTCAGGGAGAAGCTGCCTTGGAGGTGTTGTGCTCAACTGGCTGGGACGCCTGAGGTTGCAGGTCAGGGCTGGGGTGAGGGCGACAGGGACTGTGCCCTGAGTGATGGTTTCCTTAGGACCCCACGTGCAGCCCGAGTCCGCCTTGGACTTCTGGGACAGGAGAGCTGCGCGGAGTAGATGACAGTGCAAGGTCCAGGGTTGCAAGCTAAGGTTGGTCAGCTGACTGCCGGCTCCTGAGGGGGAGCTGGGAGCTCACTGAGCAACTTTGATGGGGAAGCATGCTTTTCTAGCTGACCCATACTCGTATGAATGCTGTGAGATTTCTCACTATCTTCAAAGCAAACGTAGTTTCTAGCTCTTTGCTTTGTAGCCGGCCAAATGTAACGTACTTGACGTTCATGAAAAGTTTCTGTTCCCCGATATGCCTCTCTGCTGATGAAATGATCCGAATAAGACCAAATCAAACCGAATTTGAATTTGGGTTGATGGATAGCAACGTTCCATAATGGCTTTTCAGCCCTCCAAGAGGAGATAGGAAAGGGTGACCAGAAAACCACGTGTTTTCTGGGTGCTGTTTACTTTGTGGGAGTGGTATTTAGCATCAAACATTTCATACTCTGCCTATATGGATGCCAGGTGCTGGGGTGAAGCCTTTACCCAAACATTTCAGATTCTTTGGATATATGGGTACCAGGGGCTGATGTGAAGCTTCCACCCAAACATCCTAGACTCTTTGGGTTTAGGGGCGCCTACTCAAGTCTGTCTACTTCCTGTGGGCATGGCACTACATAGAGGAAAGGGAGTCGGGAATTGGTGGGCTCACACTCAGTGAAAGGTGTGCCTGTAGGGGCATCCAGTTCACTGCCATCCTGGAGACCTCGGGCATCTGTTCCTTAAGAGAGACAAGAAGGCAGATTGCTGGGAGAACAAATAGGTTGTTATTATCGGCCCTGGCCAGCCACGGGAAGGCTGATTAACTGCCAGAAGGAGTGGGCTGGAGAAGCTGACTCCAGGCGGCACATTGAGCTCTGGGTTCCCTTAAAGCCTTGAAAGGTCCCCCATCCCTAATGTAGGGCGGACTAACTGTGAAAACGACAGGATGTCTGCTTGGCCCACAATGATTGTGTCAACGTCTTGATGTGGCCTTGAGCTTGTTGAGCTGGTCCAGAAGCAGGGTCCCTAGGAACAGGTGAAAAGCTCTCATGGCCTTGTGTTACAGTGCCAGGCTTTTGTGTCAGGTCAGCAGGTGAGGAGAACTCCCAGACCTGTGTGTATTCCTGTGATTTTAGTAACCAGACCTGTGATAGAAAAGAAACGTCAGTCTCCTCTGAGGCACATCCCTGTCATCTCAGCATTTGTGAGGGTGTAATTCCAGGCCAGCATATGCTACCCATGGCTATGACAGGCAAGATTTCAACTTTAATGATGTGATAAATACTTTATGGTGCTTTTACAGTGAGCACCTTGATAAATGTATGCAGTCAACACTTTTTGATTTACAAACTATGTGTTCTTAACCTTTGCTGACTGAGCCCACATGTAATTTAAACTTTGTCTCTAACATGTTCTTGTTAAAGACTTTAATTTTGGCTGTTGCATACTTATTTGCATTTACTCTGTGAGGAAGAATTCTCTTTGCCTCGTTTGAATAGTTCTGCCTATATTCAGCAAATGTTCGTACATTTTGGAAATTAATCTTTATTAATTACGGTCATGACCTGATGAGACTTTCTTCTGGTTTCTTCCAGTTTGTTCCTTTCATATCTAATCTGAAACTCCATTATTTCTTTATTTTTATTCTACACTTCTTGACTGATGCGGCTGCTGTGATTACATTCCTGGGTCTTTGTCTGCAGCTGCAGCTGGGATGCCTTCCCCTGTCCTAACAGCAGAGGCTGCACTGTGAGCAGATGCTTCTTACAGTGAGCCAGAACAAAACCACTCCCTGCACTGTCCTTCCCGTGGGGCACTGCAGAGCCAACCAGTAAAGCAGACTGCTAATGGTGGGTCCTGCTCTTCCACAGGTCCAGTCCAGTTCCCCTTGTTGGCAGCCCTGTGTCTTTCCTCCCAGGCTTCTTTCACTGTATTCTAATGTTAGCATGAGGGAAGGAGTTACTTGTGTTTACAGCTCATGTATGACCCGTGCTGTGTTAGACATGTCATCTCTGGAAAACTCTGGAGCGGAGGTGCTGGGGGATGACATTCATTCAGTTTCTGTTGGTCGATCTATATGATTCTGCCAGAGGCCATGGAGAGATACTGCAAATGATTTAAACAGGGTCAAACACATGCAAGTAATAACCCTAAGCAGCACCAATTTTCATTGTGTTGTCAATTCAGTTTATAAAAGTGTCTTTCGTGGTGTCCTCCATAGTCCTTATCAAATGCAGCAACGTATTTTGAGATGAAAGGTGCATGTGGTTGCATGGCCACCTCTTCAATATCTGCATTCTGTTGTTCTTTCTATTGCAATCTCTATGTGAAATAAAGTCAAGTCTATGAGAATGCATGGCCCTAATCTGTATCGAATATACTCCACACAGTGTTGCATTAAGAAGACTCAGAAACAATGTATGGTCTATTAAAATCTAAAAGTACACCAAGACAGGTAATGTACACAGCATATTTGAAATGTATTTGGAAACAAAAATTATAATTATATAATTCATGTTTCCAAAGCAGGTACTGTATTTCTTCTCCCATATTTTTTTTTATGATTTAATCCACTTTCTAAGTAATAAAATTGCAAAACTTGGTATCTTGAAGCAAAAACTAGGGATTGTTTCATGTCATAGTTATCTTTCTTCTGTGGTCTGTAGAATGCCAGCAGACTCTTTTATGAGGCAGGAACCCTGAAGGACTGTCCCATCTTGTTTGGCAAGTTCGACAGTCAAATTGGTCCTGCATGTCCAATTTATACAGCACACAGTCAAACAGGCAGACAAGAGCAGTTTCTTGCCCAAATGGTAGCCTGCCACACTGAAAGCAAGCATCATAAGGAGCTTCTTTGATGTCCATCCTTTTGTTGAAATAATTGGTGCCGGGAACAGGCATATCTCACTGTTGAGAAAAGTCTTAAGTTCTTAAAACATATTAATGCCATATTCTGTTGGTTTTTGAAGTATTTGAGAATGACCTATCTATCTGAAATAGATCTCTGCATATCTCAAAAACCTAACCAACATAACTATAAGCTTGACTGTTATAGATAACTATTAATTTGTATATCTTAACGATACATTACATTTTTAATTAGCTGCTTGAACACCTTAAACAAGAGTAGAAATATGTATGTAGTCTAACAAAATGGACCTTAAATTAGTATCAATATACAAAAATGATTTAAACATAAAAACAGAAACATATATATAGTGTAACAAAATTAACTTTAAATGTGTATCACTATACCTAAATTCATACCAATGCAAAATATAGTTGTCTTTTTATCCTATATTTCTATATTTTCCTCAATATAACAAGCATAATCTACCAAATAACCAAAGACCATCCTTACCCTCTGAACTCTTGGGAATGTGGATGTCATTTTCTCTAAGCTATTGCCTCCTATCTGTGGATGAAGTATCTTTTGAGTCCTTGATAAAATTTTGAGATAATGGCCAATCTTAGGAGTACCAAGATTTAAAAAAAGGTAACCTTTTGTTTATTGGTAACACCTGCTAAGTTTTGGGAGGTCTCCCATGATCAGTGTTGGTCCATCTTAACCTGAAACGAATTCATAGCTTCTTGCTTCCTGTGGAAACAAATGCAAAACTGCTTCTCCAAAGCAGTGTATCTTTTAAGTTTCATTTTTGAAATATATTATTTGACTTGTTTTAAAGTTAAGGGATTTTGAAAATATTTAGGTTGGTGTATATTATCAGTCTCTCTTTTAATTCCATGTTTCCCAGGAGTTGCAGCTTGGTGGCCTTCCGTGAAAAAATACAAAATCAATACAATAATAGACAGGATCCAAATTCCCTCTGCATTTTCCATCTGTATTTTACGTAACTTTTGTTCTTTTATATTATTTTTTTCTTTCTTTAAAGATGTTATTTTATATTTTAAAACTATTTCTTTCTTTATATAACAGTCTATACCCATTTTTTTCCCTTTCTCAAGCCCACACACATTAAAAAACACTCAAACCTGTGTAGAAGTTTTTCCGTCTGGACCTCTTCTTACTCTATATGTGTTAAGCTGTTTTGTTTGGATAAGCGTGATCTAAGTCTGCCATCAGCACGTGGGTGAGTTCACCGTAGACATGGTCTCTTCTCAAAATGGCCATAGCTAGTTTCAAGTTGATAGGGTAAGTATGAAGCACAATGCATCTTGGTATTTAAGTTAAATTAATGTGCACTATCATTTAATTAAATTAATGTGCCGTATCATTCACTGATCTTTATTTCAGGAAATGCTCTCCTTCTGGGATGTGGCCATTGATTTCTCTCCAGAAGAGAGGGAATGCCTGGAGCCTGCTCAGTGGAGTCTGTACAGGGATGTGATGTTGGAGAATTACAGCCACCTTGAATTCCTGGGTGAGCATCTCATCTATTGATGTGGAAGGGTCTTCTATCTATTGTTATTTTTATTGGTTAATAAAGAGACTGCCTTGGCCCTCTGATAGGACAGAAAATTAGGTAGGCGGAGTAAACAGAACAGAATGCTGGGAAGAGGGCAATGAGGCAGACGCCATGGAGCCAGCCACCAGGTCAGACATGCTGAATCTTTCCCGGTAAGCCACACCTCGTGGTGCTATACAGATTATTAAAAATGGGTTAATCAAGATGTGAGAGTTAGCCAGTAACTAACTCTCTAGAGATAATGGGCCAGGCAGTATTTAAATGAATACAACTTATGTGTTATTATTTCTGGGGCTAAGCTAGCCATGCAGGAGCTGGGCAGGATGAAAAGCAGGCCTGCCTGCAGCTCCTCACTACAATCTATAGTGACTTCTTTTTCTTTAAAATATTTATTTATTTATTATGTATACAATATTCTGTCTGTGTATATGCATGCAGGCCAGAAGAGGGCACCAGACTCCATTACAGATGGTTGTGAACCACCATGTGGTTGCTGGGAATTGAACTCAGGACCTTAACCTCTGAGCCATCTCTTCAGCCCCCTATAGTGACATCTTATTTCGCCATCAACATATAGCTTCCTCGCTTTGTATGGTTTCTCATGGGAGCATTTCAACAGTTTCATATCCATTGTTTTTAAAATAGTTATTGACATGGCTACATTAAAAATCATTTTGGGGCTGGAGCAATGGCTCAGTTGTTAAGAACAATGACTGCTCTTCTAGAGGACTATTAAGTAAAAGGAAACTGCTCTTTCCTTCCCAGCCACCCATACACAAATAATCACATGGAAACTGTAGTAATTACAGCACTGTTTGGCCTGTTAGCCCAGGCAGGAAATCCCACATCCCCGGCCCTCCTATGGCAGCTCACAATCGTTTGTAAACCCAGGGTCTGACAGCCTCCTGCTGTGTGATGCTTTGATTGTGTTCTGTTCTGACAAATAAAGTTTGATTAGAGTCAGGGGATAGATTAGCCACTAGCTGACCATAGAGATAGGAAGACTGTAGAGAGGGGAACAGGACGTGGAAAGCTGGGCTGAGACCGGATCTCTGCCCTTTGGACAGTGGGATGGAAGAGGTAGGACATCACTGGTGCCTCTCTCAGCTTTCATTTCCTTAGCCGATGTCTCACTCTTTATTTCTCATTGATAAAGATTACTAAGATTAACATATCACCCTTACATAGACATACATGAAGGCAAAACACCAGTGTATATGAAAAATTAAAATAATTTATGATTTAAAAAGTAATCACCTTACTGTTTGCTTCACTCTGTGTTTTATCTTTCTCTGTTAAGTGTGTGTTTCCTTCACTCTAGTGTTACTTTTAGAAATTCAGTGGCATGAGACATGAAGCACACTCTTTAATTGAAGTGTTTTACAATTCAGCTTTACTGTTTTTCCTCATGAAGTAAAAATCCATATTTTTTTTCTTTTTTCTTTTCTGTTTTTTTCCCCCTTTGGTTTTTTGAGGCAGGGTTTCTCTCTGGTTTTAGAGCCTGTCCTGGAACTAACTCTTATAGACCAGGCTCTCCTTAAACTCACAGAGATCCACCTGCCTCTGCCTCCCCTGGCATTAAAATCGTGAGCCTCCACCGTCCAGCTCCTTCATGTGTTGTAGTGATCCTGTCTGAAAACACTTAAGGATCTGATTGTCTGCAATCATTTGTCACCTCATCTCTGTCCTTACAAGCCAGGTACAGGCAGGGACATGTGAATTCCATGTACAAGAACACATAAACAAACTTCTTCCCTTTTTCTACAAACAGGTCTTGGTGTGCCTAAGCCACACCTAGTGACATTTCTGGAGCAAAGACCAGAGCCTTCAGATGGGAAGAGAAAAGCAGCAGCCAGCGTGCACCCAGGTGTGTAGGACTGAGGGGATCGGGGGCAGAGCTGAGACCCTGAGATCCAACAGAAAGTGAGGCTTTCCCATGTGCCTTGATACATGATACCATGGGAATCATTCTTTAGGTCTCTCCTTCAGGTCTTTGTTGTCAGAGTACATGTCTCAGAGGTTTATGAGGGTTTAAAGTCTCTTTGGATTTTCCCAATAACAAGTTGTGCTTCTCTTTACAGTGACCTCCAAGGTTTTTCCTTTTGTTGAGTCTCCATTGTAGTGTAAGACACAGGGAAATAGAAATCAGTCCTGCTATGACTGAGAGTCATTTATTTCCAGATGTTGAGAGCAGACTCGTGACAGAAAGATCTCTACACCAAAGTGAACATATTGGGTTAATAAAGGGAAACCCACAATTCCATCACAGAGAGGCAGGCAGAGACAGAGGCTCAATGGTGTCACTTCTGTGGGTCAGAACAATTGGGGGGTTGGAAGCATTGGGTAAAACTCAGAGCAACCAAATGTAATTTGGACAGTCCATTTCCAAGTGATCTTAGGGAAGAGTCAAAGCATTTATACATTGTATAAAGGGGATCTATTTGGCCACTAGGTACACTAATTTAACATTGCCTGTTTGCCTTTTTTTTTTTAACAACCTTACCACCACTTGATTCAGCAGATCCTGACCATTAGATGTAGAAAGAGTAGGATAAGGTAACCTGCAAGGCCTTGGACTGTTGATTCAGAGTTGTCCATCAAATCAGTTATGGGTGCAGTGTTTGTGTGCTTCTCGTACATGACAGTTAGTAGATTTAGGCCTATTAGTAAGTTGTAAGGGTCCATTTGTTTTTCTATTTCAAGCTAATTTATTTATCATGTACAAAGATGTTATTTGGATGTTAAAGGAATCGTAAACTTTTGTATGTGAATCTGGTTTTTCCAGATACATCAGTACTAGTAAAATATTTTATTTCAGATATATTCAGGGTATCCACTGTGGCTAGAAGTAGAGGAAACATTATGGCTGATATTACCATAGGTCCAATTGAACAAAAAGATCTTGTGGTCACTTCTTCAGGTCTCCTGTTGATTCTCAAATGTCCTTAGTGTATACTTTCATTAGCTTCTGTGTTTTTAATGGGATCATGACTGATGAATTTAGGCAGTGTTTTTCATCAGCAGCTCGATGGATCAGGCCTTTGCGGCCAGCTGCTCCCCAATAACCATGCAGAGACTTTATATTAATTGTAAATGCTCAACTGACAGCTCATGCTTATTACAAATTAGGTCTTACATTTTAAATTAACCCATATGTCTTATTTACATTCTGCCACGTGGCAGTACCTTTTCTTCATACAGCATGTTTATTGCTGGCTTCTCAGAATCCTGGTCCCTGCTTTGAGTCTGGCTTTCTAATGCCAGGATTTGGTCAGCCCCAAAAATCCTGCCTAGCTGTAGACCAATCAGCTTTTTATTAACAATAATACAACACATGTTCGCAGTGTGCAGAAAGATTATTCCACAGCATTTTCTCCATTTGTCTAATATATAACAAAAGTATACATATAAAAATAGCCTCTCATGTTGTTGGAAATAAAAACATAACCTCTCTCCCAAAGTAACAAACTTCTTTTTTCATTTTAAAGTCAAGATATGATAAAACTACATGGGTTGCTTTAATCCAGCCGATTTCACAATCCAGTGAGTCTCAGCAGCTCTCATCCCTTCATTAGCAGTCAGAAAATCCACAGACAACACAGTAACACGTGGATTCCAGACACTCAGTGTATTTTACTTTTTTGTGTGTCTTTTTTCTTTTGTATTTATTCCCCTTTTAAGGACTTTTACTTTATTTTAAAAGTATGTATATATTTATTGTAAATGTCTATACAATTTTTTTTTCTTTCATGAGACTTTGTACATTTTTAAACACACTGTACCCATTTACAGATTTTTTTTTCCTATCTAAATCTATCTTTCCTGAGCATCTGTAACCTTTCCTGTCCACATGAGCAAAACCCTAAACCTGCCACCCACTGAAGTGGTGGAGCTCAAGTCGGTGGCTCCTATCTATAGGCAGCCACCAGAGGGTGCGTCTCGGTACTGCAGGCCACATGAGAAACAATACCAGGAAGATGCATTTGCCTCCACTTGTGGTTTTGAGTGGTGAAGGGCACTTAACAGAAATCCCACACTAGCTCAGAACTGATAATAATTGAGGGTTATTTATTTAGGGGTAGACTCACAAGTCACAATCCTCTGCTGGAACAGAGAACAGCAACGAAATCCCACAGCTGGAAAATGAGTCCAGACACATGCTTTACATTGTCATAAATAGTATAAGAGGCTACGCCCAAGTGGGCGGATAACTTAAAAGCTACTAGCTTTAGGAATTCTTATAGCACCTCCCCCTTTTGTTTAAATGTTCTAAACTTAATACAAAATTATATACAATAAGAACAAATATATCAAGCAAGAAACATGTGATAAATGTTTCAATAAGTATCTTATCCTAATGAGTTTAAATCTTGTATAGTAAATAATTTGGCCAAGTCATGAAAGTCACTACACCTATGTAGTCTTCAACCCCATCAAAGACCCAAGAAGGGAAATAATATTACTTGAGTAGGTAGGAAGTGCAATCAAGCAACTTCCAAAATGTACAACAAATGACAGAGAACTGGTTACCTGGGCAGTCACCCAAAATCTCATTTTCAGTGTTGTGGCAACCAACTTTGGCTAAGGCCTAGATTAACTGACATACCATTTTCAGAGTTTAAATTTTTTTCAAAACCGTCTTACCCTGTCTTAGCAAGATTTCACAGTCATTTTTCTTGTATCCTGCTTGCCCTGTCTGGACATCATGCATTTTGTCAGTGGCATGTTCCTTGCCCAAAGGCCAGTTTTGCCAAGAAGAAAACAAGCTCCAAGTGGAGTGTCTTCTCTGCTCAACATTCTCTCTGGAATAGATCGGTGCTGCCAGGAGCAGTCCTGTCTCACTTCAACAGAACCCTAAGTTATTTAAATTCCGTATTCTACAGTTTTTTGAAGTGGTTGAAGATTACCTGTCTATGCAGAATACAATCTCTATGTATCTAAAGAACCTGATTAGTTTAACTATAAGTATGACAAACAGATTACTGCAGGAAAATTCATTGTTCATTGTGGAAAACTTAAACTTATTTATATAGACATGTGTAGACATATATATTCAATGAAAAGTACAATAGAGACAAAAATAGGTATGAAGAAAAGTAAATTTTTTTCTAATTTTTTTTCTTTCTGTCCCATATCATGGCTCCTGTCATAAGACAGAAACTCTGAATTTTTATTTTAACAACATGCTTGGATGTAGAGAAGGATAGAGTCAGTGTCCAACTCCAAAGCCAGCTTTGAATTTTTAAGTGAATCATGATTATTAGTTTATATTTTGAGATTCTTACCCTCAGATGACATGTCCTCATAAGTCATAATTCTCTCTTCTTGATGAGCCTATCTGGAGAATTATTTTTTCCTCTTTAGGCATCTAGATGTCCAGGGTCTCTTTACCTTTTAAAGATGAGTATTTTCCTGCAAAGACAAGAACAGAACCCTGCCCAACCCTTATGCGGTTTACTTACCACCTGTATGGCTGTCACCATTGTGAATGAGCTGTCATTTCTCTTTTTTAAGCGGTTTTTCCTTTTCAAAGTGAATCTTTATTAATTTCAATGGTATCCATAGTTTTTCTTCTCCTGTGGAAACAAGAGCGAAACCCCTTCCCCAATGTAGCACATCCTCTGGTTTCCATTGTAAAGTCAACGCATCCTTAATATATACCAGCTGATCTAATTCAGAAGACTTTTCTATTATCCAGTGTCTCTCTGCTACTGTTGTCCCTTTCTCATTAGCATTAAGAAAATTTAAGGTTAAATAAAGCATTACGTAACCTATTTTTGGGGGTATTTTCCATCCCTTTCTGTTTGTTTAACATATCCTTTATATTTCGATTTGATCTTTCTATAACTGCCTGACCTGTAGGATTGTGTGGTATACCTATAATATGCGTAATATTATGATGAGCAAAAAACGGTTTCATTTTCTTAGAGACATATGCTGGATCGTCATCTGTCTTTATTTGTGCAGGTATACCCATGATGGCCATACTTCTAATAAATATGTGATTACTGAATCAGCCTTTTCTGAGCTTAATGTAGTTGCCCATTGAAAACCTGAATATGTCACGCCCAAGAGGGTGGGTAACTTAAAGGCTACTGGTGCTAGGAATACAGCAGGGTGGGCCAAGTTTGATTGCCATTTGTAGGTGGAATTTTCTGTTCCAACAGATGCTCCAAAATAACCAAAACAGAGGCTTTTTATTGGTTGTAAATAGTCAGTAGCTTAGGTTCATTTTTAAGTAGCTCTTACTTTTTAAATAAAACCATTGTTCTTATCTACCCTTTGTCACATGGAAGTTCCTTCTTTTAACACAGTATGTTCATCTTTTTTCTGTGTCTGCTGACTGTGGAGGCCCATATACTTGAGCTTTTATCCACCTTGCCTGAAGGTCATAGAGTTTTAACTTGTTCAACGTTGTTGAGAACAAGTGTGGCTACACATCCTGACCTAGGGTGTGGTCACTTGGTGTTTTTGATATTAAGATGGTCTATACAGATAGACTTACTCCAACCTGACCAATGTTCAGGATATTGAAGCATGTGTCTGTTCCTTCTTTTGAAATAAGAGATTTGTCCTTGTGAGTAACTGTCTTCTGGATACTTGGTCTTGGGTGGGTTTACTGCCTAAAGAACAGAATGTTTAAGTCTTGATGCCTCAAAGCAATGAAATAAATAACTATTCTATTTTCCTTGTGTATCATGTTAAAACAGTCTGTTTTCCTCTCTCCCTGTGGTATTGGCAAATAAAAGTATATGAAAAATTAAACACAGGCTGATTTCAGTATTTACTGGAACTCTCCCCTGGGTACTAGCCTATGTTTTCTGTTTTATTATTTTCATTCATGTCTTCATTCTCTTCACTTATTTTCCAGTTCCTGTGCCCATATCCTGGTAGGTGGTATACTACTTGAAGCTGGTCTCTGACAGCTGGCCACTCCTCTCACTATTCCCGTCTTCTTCCCAGTATTTTCTCTGCTCAGAAAATCTTGCCTAACTGTCAGCCAATCCGCTTTTATTAACAATGGGAGTACTACATATTTATATTGTGCAAAACCGTGTTCCACAGCAGAGGAGCTGGTCCAGATGTCTCTGGCGGGTAACTCAGAGTGGCTGCTCTGGGTGAGCTTTCACAGTCCACTCACCTCCTCCTCAGGCTGTGTTGCTCTCGTCACCTGTTGTGGTGGGTCCTCACTTGTCACATGTGACTTAGTTAAACTTAGCTTAACTTTGATGACAGGTACAGAGAGCTGGATAATGGAAATTAGAAATTTTTCTCTCCCTCCATGATAATGTTTGAGGCCAGCCTGGTCTCGATTATTAGTTCAAGTTCAGCAAGGTTTACACCAAAAAAACCTTGGCTTCAGGGGGAAAAAAAAAATGAAAGAAGTAATTTTGCCATCTCTTTGATAAATACACTGTCTAAGTAAAATTTGCGTGATATGCAGAAGAACCTAAAGTATTTTTGTTTTTTTGTTTTTTCATGACTCGACATGTTTCAAGCATGTATTTTTGTGTCGTTCAAATAAAACATAGCATAATGCCCTGAATTTGAACTATAAATTTCATCTTTATGTAGACTATCTACTTGTGCTCCCAAAATAAAACTGTATGGATAAAACATTTGGGGGACTGGAGAGATGGCTCAGTGGTTAAGAGCATTGCCTGCTCTTCCAAAGGTCCTGAGTTCAATTCCCAGCAACCACATTATGACTCACAACCATCTGTTATGAGATCTGGTGCCCTCTTCTGGCCTGCAGACATACACACAGACAGAATATTGTATACATAATAAATAAATAAATATTTTTTAAAAAACATTTGTATGAGACGATGTCTCAAATTCACAAAGTCAAAATTACCTATGTTTTTCACAGACTCACCTGCTTTCTAATTTCATGGGTATCCTGTGATATAAAATATCTATTCATTTAATGGGTTTATTTCTGCTAGTAAAATGCTCTTGCAACTTACTTAGCTACTTAACTTTGAATTATATGCCATTATGTCTATGTTCTATTTGGATGTTCTCTTATTCTACTAAAAATATAGATCATTTCTACCTACAATATTTTACCATTTATTCTTATTTATATTCTGGGTGTTTTGAAATGACTGTAGTTTTTCACTGATGCTTCAATATGTACAAAAAAGTTTGTTTTTTTTTTTAAAAAAAGATAAGCATTGTGAGTATGAAGAATATTTCCTAACCTTTGTTCATATCTCGTCTTTTGATGAACAGCAACAAAACCTAATGATCACAGCAGTTACAACAAGGCCATTGATTGTAACTCACTACGGATTCAACGTCAGAGAATTCATACAAGGGAGAAACCCTACAAGTGTGAAAAATGTGGTAAGGGCCTTAGTTCTTATAAAACACTTTCTATACATCAGAGACTTCACACTGGAGAAAAACCCTACGCATGTGAAGAATGTCACAAGGCCTTCAATACTCGCTCATCCCTTTTTATACACCAGAAAAATCATACTGATGAAAAATCCTACAAGTGTGAAGACTGTGGCAGGTCATTTTATTATTCTTCAATGCTGAAGCAACATCAAAGAATTCATTTGAGAGATAGCCAACACAAGTGCAAAGAATGTGGCAGGTATTTTTTCTCATTGTCATGCCTTAGACAACATCAAGCAAGATATACTAGAAAGAAATCATACAAGTGTGAAAAGTGTGGCAAATGTTTTTACTCCCCTTCATCCCTTCGGCAACATCAAGCAATTCATTCTGAAGACAGTCCCTACAAGTGTGCAGAGTGTGGCAAAACTTTTTCCAGTTTTAAATTACTACGAAAACATCAGACAGTTCATACTGGAAAGAAATCATACAAGTGTGAGAAGTGTGCCAAATGTTTTTACTTCTCTTCATCCCTTCGGCGACATAAAGCAATTCATTCTGAGGATAATCCCTACAAGTGTGCAGAGTGTGGCAAAACTCTTTCCAGTTTTAAATTTCTTCAAGAACATCAGACGATTCATACTGGAAAGAAATCTTACAAGTGTGAAGAGTGTGGCAAATGTTTTTATTTATCCTCATCCCTTCGGCGACATCAAACACTTCATTCTGAAGACAGTCCCTACAAGTGTGCAGAGTGTGGCAAAACCTTCTCCAGTTTTACATACTTTCAAGATCATCAGACAATTCATACTGGAGAGAAACCATACATGTGTGAAGAGTGTGGCAGATGTTTCCACTTATCTTCCTCCCTTCGGCGACATCAAACAATTCACTGTGAAGACAATCCCTACAAGTGTGAGGACTGTGGTAGAAGGTTTAAATCTTCTTTATCCCTTAAACAACATCAAACCATCTATTCAGCAGACAGTCCTTCTACCCGTGTACATTGTGGCCAATGGTTTTCCTATTCTGGGGATCTTCAGGATCACCAAACAGTTCATATTGGAGAGAAACCCTTCAAGTGTGGAGAATGTCACAAGGCCTTTCAATGTCCCTTATCCCTTAGTAGACACAAGAGAGTTCATACTGGAGAGAAACCCTACAAGTGTGAAGAATGTCACCAAGCCTTTCTTTGTCTCTCATCCCTTAGTAGACATAAGAGAGTTCATACTGGAGAGAATCCCTACAAGTGTGAAGAATGTCACAAAGCCTTTCGTTACCAGTCATCCCTTAAGACACACAAGAGAGTTCATACTGGAGAGAAACCCTACAAGTGTGAAATATGTCACAGAGCCTTTAATTGTCCCTCAGCTTTTAGGACACACAAGAGAGTTCACACTGGAGAGAAACCCTACAAGTGTGAAGAATGTGGCAGGTGTTTTTCCTCATCTTCAAACCTTAGACGACATAAAAAAGGAAAAATTCATTCTGAAGAGACCCCATAAAATTGTGGGGAATGTGGTAATTTTTAACATCCTTTTTCAACATATGATATATTTAATGCCAGAGAGAAATCCAACAAATGTCTTTAAAAGTTTTCTTCCTCAAACTTTAAAACACATCATATGATTCATTCTGATTGCAAATGTCATGTGTGATGTGGGATTCCCCTCTGTATGCTGTGAATATGTTTTATTACCATTGGTTAATAAAGAAGCTGCATCAGCCAATAGCTCTGCAGAGTAAAGTCAGGCAGGAAATCCAAACAGATAGAGAGAGAGTAGGAAGAGTCAGAGAGATGCCATGTAGCTGCCAAAGGAGACAGATGCCAGAACCTACTGTTAAGCCACAGCCTCAGGGTGATACTCAGATTAATAGAAAGGAGTTAATTTAAGATGTAAAAGTTACTTAATAAGAAGCTTGAGCTAATTGGCAATGGAGTGTTTTAATTAATATGGTTTCTGTGTGATTATTTGGTTCTGGGTGGCCAGGAATCATAAGAACAGTCTCCAGTTACACATGAGTGTGTGAAGTATTGTAAAACCTTTCCCAAGAATTCAGCTAACCCAACTGAGGAACTTCTGCTCCTCTCTCTCCCTCGCTGTGGTGGGGTTCCAAGCTAGCTTGCAATAAAACCTTGCATTTTGCAGTCTGTATTTCTCTGATTTCTGGTGGTTTCTCTGGGGGTCATGATCTGGGCACAACAGTATGCACCTCATTTGCTTCGGAAAATGTTTTTCCAGATGCCTTGGTGATCCTTCCCCACATGTGTGGTGACCCAAAGAAGCCAAAGGTCAGAGAATTTGGGTCTTGTTTCTAGGTCATTATTGTGCTGCTACCTCAAACAGAGGTCCCACCTAGTTGTGAATCAGAGATTCTGCTCTCTCATGGCCGTTGTCAACAGGTGCGGCTAATTGCCAGACCTTGTGCTCCTGGAATAGTGAAGTAGTTTGTTCCTAAGGACCCAACTAAGTTCCACTCCCTTTATGGAAATAACTTACGATTCTACCCAGGTAGTGGATTGCCTGCTGAGTGTTTGGTCTTGTGTGTGAGCCTGATGAATGTAGCCCTTGACTTTCAATAGCTATGATCATTTCCTTATATCATGCTAATGCAGTCTTTTGTCTTACTCCTGCCTTTTGGGGCCAGGGGTATATCAAGCAGTTGTAAATTAAACACAGGCAGATTTTCAGTACTCACTGAAAAATTCCCTCCTGATACTATGCTACATGTTTCTGCGTTTTATTATTTTCATTTGCATCTTCATATTCTTTACTGGAGTTCTAAATTCCCATGCCTCCACCCTGAAGAAAGGTATTTTTGTCAAGGCTGGCCCTCGACATAGAGGATATCTTATTGAATTTTTTGCTTCTGTGAGGACCTGACTTTGCAAACTCAGTTTTAAAGGAGCTTCATCTTAAGCCATGTAACAACCAGCTCCACAAATGAGCTACGATAGCAGAATTTGAACAGATACCCTGAAAATAGCTAATTAAGGAGCTAGGGAGCAAGACTATTAAATTTAAAGAGGTCCAGATGTTCCTAGGAGTCATCCTGTCCTTAAGAAACCTTGTCAGTTATTAATGGTCCTTTGTTAGGGTTTTCACGCCCTCAAACTGACTACTGGTTTCAGAAGCTACCTTACCCTATGCCCTCCTTGCCCAATCCCAAGACAACAGGACATGAACTCCTCTGATTTTGGCATTACCTCTTTAAAAAATTTTTTTCTTCCCTGGGCTCCAGGCTGCACTTAGCCTCCTCACCCACTCCTTTGATGTGGTGGAAATGAAGTCCAAACTCGATATTGAATATTAAAAATCTCTTGTTCTTTGCATCGGAATCCGGTGCCGTGGAGCTACATGTTGGGAAATGATTAACGTGGGGATAGCACTTCTTTTTGTTTTATTTAGTTTAGTTTCGTTTATAAGTTCATACCTCCTAGGAGCCATTTGTGCGTCACTCAGATTTCTGGGAAATGTAGTCCCTGTGTCTGTGACGTCACAAGAAGCCGTCCAGGAAATCCCATTCCTGCTTTGGTCTCCACATGTGCGTCTTCACCAAAGTTGGGAAGAGTCCGGTCTGTTGCACATTCGGGTTGCATCTCTGACATGGAGGTTGGTTCAGGGTTCAGCGCAGCCTGAGGCACTGTGCAGGACGCGGGGCCGTCTTGAAGGGAGCGGACCTGGGCTGGGTGGGAGGGCGGGAGAAGCTGCCTTGGAGGTGCTGTGCTCAACTGGCTGGGACGCCTGAGGTTGCAGGTCAGGACTGGGGTGAGGGCGACAGGGACTGTGCCTTGAGTGATGGTTTCCTTAGGACGCCCGTGCAGCCAGAGTCCGCCTTGGGCTTCTGCTTGGTAGCGCGAAGTAGTGCGAGGTCCAGGATTGCAAGCTAAGGATGGTCAGCTGACTGCCTGCTCCTGAGGTGGAGCTGGGAGTTTACTGAGCAGCTATGGTGGGGAAGCCTGCTTCACTAGCTGCCCCATTCTCGTATGGATGCTGTGAGATTTCTCAGTGTCTTTTATATATAGTTTTTCGAGACAGAATTTCTCTGTAACTTCGGAGCCTGTTCTGGAACTATCTCTTGTAGACCAGACTGGCTTTGAACTCACCGAGATTCACCTGCCTCTGCCTTCCTAGTGCTGGATTTAAAGAAGCGTGCCACCCCCGCCCATCTGAGATTTCTCAGTATCTTTAGAGCAGTCGTGGTTTCTGATCCTTCCTTTACTTTGTAACTGGCCTAAATGTATGGTCTTGAGGTTTATGAAAAGTTTTTATTCTCCTATAACCCTCTCTGCCTATGCAATAATCCAAATCAGACCAAATCAAACCAAATTAGACAAAGCCCAGGTTTAATGTATACCAATGCTCCCTGATGGATTTCCAGTTCCGCAAAGAGAGGAGATAGGGAAGAAACACTGGAAAACCATGTGTTTGTTCTCTAGGGTGCTGTTTAAATACTCTGTGGATGTGGTATTGAGCATCTCTGGGGAGGGGTCATCGTTTCTTTCTCGGAGGTAGAGTCTGAACTGAGGCAACTCCCACAGGAGGGGGCTTGGGATGGAACTAACACCCAAGCATCCCAGACTCTTTGTTATAGGGATGCTGACTAAAGTCTGTCTTCTTCCTTTGGGCATTGGTTGATGTAGGGGAGGGGAGAGTCAGGAATTGGTGGGCTCACACTCAGCGGGAGGGGTGGCTGGAGAGGCATCTGGTTCACTGCCATCCTGGAGATCTCAGGCATCTGTTCCTTAAGGAAGAAGAGAAGGCAGGTTGCTGGGAGAACAAATAGGTTGTTATTATCAGCCTTATGACTGGGGCAGCCATGGGAAGGGTGATTAACTGCCAGAAGGAGTGGGATGGGGAAGCCCTGGGACAGGAGAGGCAGGGTGAGTGAGGGAGACAGTTTACCTTGTTTTCATTTGTTCTGACGGCTAAAGAACTAAGAAAGGAAAAATATCCGAGGTGTGCTGGTCTCTGGCGGTAAATTCTGGAAGGAAGCAGCAAGGTCTGCCAGGA